TGGGCTTCACTCAGGAGAAGCAGCGACCATTGGGGACGGGACATTTCGAAAGGGGACTTCCAAAAAAATTAACTTTCTGAAGCTCTGGACAAGACAGTCTTCGGTGTCTATGTTCAACCTGAAAGAACAATCACTGCCGTTTGTTATTCCAAATCCCAGTCAATTCCTGAAAATAAAGCTCAGATTTCATAGGCAGAAAACGCTGTTGTTGTTTAGTCGTATAGTCGCGTCTGACTCTTCGTGACCCCTTGGACCAGAGCACACCAGGCCCTCCTATCTTCCACTGCCTCCCGGAGTTGGGTCAAATTCCTGTTGGTCGCTTCAATGACCCTATCCAGCCATCTCGTCCTCGGTCGTCCCCTTCTCCTCTTGCCTTCACACTTTCCCAACATCAGGGTCTTTTCCAGGGAGTCTTCTCTTCTCATGAGATGGCCAAAGTACTGGAGCCTCCGTTTCAGGATCTGTCCTTCCAATGAGCACTCAGGGTTGATTTCCTTCAAAATGGATAGGTTTGTTCTCTTTGCAGTCCAGGGGACTCTCAAGAGTCAAGAAAATGCTGGGACTGATTTAAAGGTCGGGTATGTAAACAGCCTGGGAAACTGATCTCCCTCCCATAAATCCACCTCAGGTGAAAAACACAAACACTGTTTTCTACAGAGAAAAATAAAGGAGCTGTGAAATGAAAGTCTGCTTCTCAGCATCTGCAGCCTACATGGGGCTCCTTCCCCTTTCAAACCTTATTATCCCTGTTCTTCTTCATTGGTAAACACCCCTGTCCTGTGACAGCCTCGTTAGTTTAGCCGGAAGTAGCTCCACACTCATTTAAGCAATTTACTACAGTATTACTCTGAGACAGCTTTGAGGATCCTTTCCATCTTCTCCTCCTCCTCCTTCTTGATCAGAGGAATAAAGATCTGTGGCCGTGCATCTCCCTGAAACAGGTTTCATTCACATCTGTGGGAGAGAAATCTCCATTCTCCACAGTTTTCTCTACCGCAACCATGGCCAAAGAGGCGTCCATGACATCCCCATCTTCTGAGAGGAACACACCGCTAGTGGGCTCTCGTGCCCCCATCAGCCTGCCAGCCAATCTGCGTTTTTCTCAGGACAAAGCGGTTTAATTTCTTCCATTTGTAGCCTGTACCCAGAATCTCAGGGCAATGCGCAAGTCCCATACATGAACCCTGGAAGGGAGGTTTGGCTCAGACTGCCTTTGCCGCACAAACGTTGGCATGCAAAAGTTTCCCAATGCATCGTTCTCAGGCGTCCTCAACCACCAGACAGAGGAGCACCCACGAGGCTTTGTCAAGGAGAAGGGTTTGGTGCTGGGCTGGGAAGGGGCACAGAAAAAAGAAAAGTTACTTGGTTAGCCTGTATCTCCTAGAATCAACCACCCTGCATGGCTCCGAGGTAGAGTGACCAAGTCAGCAGCATCTCAGGGGAAGGCCAGGAGGAGAAAAGTTTGATTTTGCATGGTTTTGCATCTAGAGAATGGGAAAAGACTATCCATTAGAGACTCAGATGGGGTGCAATGACAGAACTAGAAAATATCATCAAATGTAAGGATTTGTTAGTGGAGAGACCAAAGGTCAAAATTATCCACACTCTTGTATCCCCAATTATTATGTACAGGTGTGAAAGTTGGACAGTAAAAAATAAGTGACGGGGGAAAGAAATCATGTGTTTGAAATGTGGTGCTGGAGGAGAGCTTTGTAGATAAACCTGGACTGCCAGAAAAACCAACAAGTGGGTCCTCGATCAAATCAAGCCTGAACTCTCTCTGGAGGCAAAAATGATGAAATGGAGGCTGTCCTACTTGGAGCACATCGTAAGAAGAAACAATTCTCTGCGAAGGACAATAATGCTGGGCAAGGTTGAAGGCAGCAGGAAACAGGAAAGACTCTATATGAGGTGGAGGCACCCATACCACTAGGAACCGGAGTCTGATCAAGCAGCTTTCCTAAGCAACGCTTCCAGGTTATGATAGTCAATCCGTGAGAATCCGCAGGCATGTCGAGGAGTCAGCTTGTGAATTCAGCTGGTAGAGTGATGATTCAGAACAAGCACGCTGATGCACCACTGACTCTTTTAGTCCCTATTCTTCATCAGCCTCTGGCATCGTGTTACCTCTGTGTCTCCTCAGGCTTTAGAGGGGAAAACAAAACCACTTTTAGCCGCCACCATCATCTACCAATCCTAGGCAAAATTACCTGGAAAGAAGCCTCACTGAACCAAACAAAGCTTATGTCTACGTAAACTCATTCATCAACTAGAGGCTGGGGCCTTCTCGCTGGTGGCCGCCCCACTCTGGAGCCCACCCTCCTGAGCTCCCAAAAGTGAGTTAAAATCTGGTTTTTTGCTCAAACCTTCACAAACCTCACCCCTTTGTGATATTAATTTTGTGGTAAGCCGTCCAGAGAAGGGCTTGTCCACTAAATGGGTGGGGTGTAAGTTTAAACAGACAAACAAATACATAAAAACAAATGTAAATGGAATCGCAGGATAAGGAAATGATCAGCCCCCTTTGTGATATTAATTTTGTGGTAAGCTCATGCCAGCCCATGGTTCGCCAAACTGGTCTCTGTTTTTACAGGTTCGTTTTTTAAAAGGTTGTTGGTATTTTGTTGTTTTCTGGAAGCCGTCCAGAGAAGGGCTTGTCCGCTAAATGGGTGGGGTGCAAGTTTAAACAGACAAATGCATAAAAACAAATGTAAATGGAATCTCAGGATAAGGAAATGATCAGTCTGGATTCAGTACCTGCTACCTTCGCCATCTGCTACCTGTACTGTTTCAGACACCCAAAGGAAACCAGGGAAACCAGCAGTTCCTGGGGAAACCATGTTCTTGGAAGGAATGACAGCAAAGAAAAATATAGGCAACCCAACACTTGATGTCTCATCATAACCCAAATCCACCTGGTATGTTACTGTTCCAAAGTGCCGAAGCGGATTTCGCTCAACATGCAAGCTTGAAAAGACATCTCACCCAGTGCAAAATACAAATTTCTCTTCCACGAAGGATTAATGGAGGCCAAACAAACCATTGTCGTCCTGTAAATGGCTTCTCCTACTGGTACAGAGAGGCGGCCGCGAAAATCAGTGTTTTCTTGTTAAGCTGGGAAAGAGGAAATGGGGTATCGGCTGGCGTTCTGTCCCAAGAATCTCTAGCGCAATCCATTGAAACAAATGGAGGTTTGCATCACAGTAGGCCTGGTTTGATGGTAATTGTCTCTGTTGTTCCCATTATGTCGAAAGATTGATGCAAATTTAACTGCTCCAAAGGATGTCTGGAGGTGCTGCTCCGAGGTGTCAATTGTATTATTGACCTGCTGGCTTTTAAGAAGGGGGGGAACGGGTGGGTGTGTTTATTTGCCGCAGCTGGTCCAGGACAAATCCACGCCTCCTTGGCTATGCAACGCCAGATTTATGTACCGCTCTGAGCTTTGGTGTGCCATCGGCTTCCCAGCCAGACAAAAGGGTTATTTACTGTGTACCACTGCATAAAAATGCCCCACACGGTCTCAGTCGGCTGGCAAGGATCCTGCCCGGAATGGTAATGCCTGCGTGATTGCGATTCAGCTTTTTTTTTTTTAAAGAAGGGCATGTCGCAGCCACGGGCATCGTAACCGAGTTTATTGATACCGTGGCTCACACAATGAAAATCAAATTAATGCAGAACAATGGGGCCGCTCAAAAGCGAGGCAGCTGTTGCTGTCTGACCGAATGGCGTCGTAATTCGTCCAAGAGAAGATTGGACATATCACCATTAGGATGCAGACGGCCTATTTTAGGAGGCTGGGGACGAGTCCAAGCCAGGAGTGGTTCATGTGTGAAAAGTTTGTAACAGCAGAAGGCTCACAACAAAACTGAGTTCTTACTTTCTAGAGTTTCTTTGGCAGGACCTTTCATCTTAGCACATCAGCCTGCCTTGTAAAAATTCATGATCTTCTGGAGCACTGCTGTAGACAGCAACAAATTCTAATGGTCTGTAGATCATACAGAGGGCAATGAGGAGAAAAATTGTAATTTTAGTCAGGAATCATTTTGAGGATTAAATTTTATTTTATTTATTTATTTGCTGCATTTTTATCCCGCGCGTGTCCCCAAGTGAGATAAAAATGGCTCCTTTCTTCCCTCTTTTGCCTGACAGCAACCCCGTGAGGTAGGCCTGGCTCCAAGACGGTGAGAGACCCGAGGCCTATCCAGCAGGTTTCATGGCTGAGTGGGAATCTGAAGCCACATCTCCGGAGTTGGAGCCCAACACTCCAACCACTAGGCCATGCTGAATCTAACCACGACATCACACAACACCAGATGGATAACAGAGAACACTGGGAAGGGTCATTTTGGCAGGAGGGATCCACTCCCCCCCCCCCAGCAACCCTTCCACATCCAAGTGGGAATGGCGCCACTCTCTCCCCACACACCCCTTAAAAAGTACCCCTCCCACTGGACCAAAAAGGTCCCGACCGAGCAGGGATCAGGGTCAAGCTGGTTTGTGATCTCCCGTGTGTCACGTGACTGTTGGGAACAACTTGGAACAGACCATGCCCCAGGTGATCCAAAAAGCACCGTGCCTCCTTGATGAGTTGGACTCAATCTGTGGGATCCATTCCCGCTCTGCCATTCTAACATATATATTGCTTTAAGCGGAGGTTGCCATCAGAGAAACAACTTGCTTTACATATATATTTAAGAGGAAAAAAAGATTCATACATCTGCAGGAGGAAGAGTAAACAGAGCAGGTGGCGCTCCGGCTTACGCCAACCTTTGTCCCATCTTAGGGCTGCTGATGGCATCTTCTTCCTTCACTCATTTTTATTTCTTGACACTGGGCATACTGGGAAAGGTCTCTCCCCTTTATGTTGTGCTTCTGGGCTTCCCAAAGAGGTTAGGTCTGCCACTGAGGGAAACAAGCCTTTGGACGCGTCTGATTTCAATTCAACCCAACCCTATCAGAAGCTTAGGTTTCTTCTTTATAATCAAGCAAACGACGGGGCGTTTTGAGTAATAAGCATCCCTTTATTCGCCGACACCATTACAAAAACTGATTACATTAGCAACCAAAAGAAAAGGAAGGAAGGAAGAGAAAAGAACCAAAGAAAGAAAAGAGAGAAGAGGAGGTGAAGGAGTGTTGACTTGGAAGGTGGAAATCATAGAGATGACTATGCCCCAAGGTGTCTCTAAGTAAAACAGCACGTAAGACCACCGGGATTAAAAGGTTATTGTTCGCTGCTGCTGTTACCACCATCAGGTGCGTGTGGGTACCTGAACAGGTTTGACTGAGCATAGTAAAGATAAAAGGTTACATGTTTACTGTAGCTCCTGGAATGTGAAGCTCTAATTATCCAAACTGTTTTTTTATTTATTTATTCATTATAAAACTAAACTCTGGAGGTGGCTGCAGAGTCTTCTTCTTCGTCATCTTGTTTAAATCAGTAGTCTAACAAGGAGTAGAAAAGACAAAACTCTGTTCAGTGTTTGACGACGTAGAAAGGGTGAACACATAAATAAGGCTTTAATTTGGCAAAATATAAAATACAGTGCCTTCTGCTACCCCAGATTAACCATCTCCCCATGATTTCAATCTGCAAGAGAAACAGAAAGCAAAGGCGAGTTTAGAGTGGGGCTGGGTGTTTTATAAAATATTGTTATTTCTATTAGCAGAAAAAAAATGAGCACTAAAAATTTAGAGTACAGTAAAGTTAAACCTAATTGACCCCAAGAGGGGGAAAAGGTAGAGGGAGATCATCATCTTTAAAGCTTTTTGTAGAAATCCAGATTTCTAAGTGGGGAGAATTTCAAATTTCAATATTCTTAACAAATTACTATCTTAAAGGTAAGTACAACTAGCAGGAAAAGAGTCAAACACACATTTAAAATATGCTTAATCGTATGAGTCAGTGTCATTCTATGGGCTTCAAAAATCTCTTTTCTGAAGGGGAACTGAACCTGCATGTCATTAACTTGTTGGCATCAATGCACACAAAGAACAACATTCAGGCCCCAGACTCTGAAGGACTAAAGTTCTGGTTTCGAAATGGACATTTACAAACATAAAATGGAACAAGTGTTCCAAGCATTGGCTCTATAAAGACAACCCACCACAAAGAGGCCGGAGAAGACCTATAGATGTTCTATCACAACATGGAGAGAAACTAGAGCTGTCTAGTTTGGAAATTCCTGTGAAAACTCCAGCAATGGCTGAAGTCAGAGCTCTGAGAGACGGTTTTTTGAGGGCAAAAATTCCAAGACTCCTGCAGTCAGCCTAGCCAGTGTCTCAGGGAAGTGGCTCAAGATGAGCAATCCAGAGGGAAAAGCAACCCGTTTCCCAGGATCCAAAATCTCCCTCTCGGTCTCCAGATGCAGTTCTGACCCGGAATATGAAAACTGCCCTGTTTCAGTCTACAGAGTGGAAGAATTTAGAAGTGGTGGTGGAGATTTATTTATATTAATAATATGCCATCTTTTTTCCTTGTAAAGGGCCAAAGGCAACTCACAACAGATTTTAAAATGCTATATAACTATCATATGGAAAAAAAACATTAAGCATCTATTAAGGCTTTAAAAATCAAGTTTAAAAACATATGTAAATTTGTAAGAAACAACGTTCCTGAGACAAATTATTGCTTAAAAGCTTGAAGAGGAAGGTATCAAATCAAGTTTAAAAACAATTTAAAAACATATATAAATTTGTAAGAACCAACGTTCCTGAGACAAATTATGTTTAAAAGCTTGAAGAGGAAGTTATTTGCCTGACAACAGAAGGACAAGATGGAGGAGGAGGTCAATCTCTGGCTTTTTAGGGCAGTGAATTCCAAATCTTGGGAGCAGCCACTGAGAAGACCTCTGCCTTGTGTCCTCACCAAATTTCACTTGGGAGGGGGGGGTGTGGCACCGAGAGAAGGGCCTCCCCAGAAGATCTTAAAAGCCGACTAGGCTCCTATGGGGTGATATGATTCATTCTACCGCTTCTGACTACAGGTTGGGGAAATGTTCTCTCATGCTAAATTTAAAAAAATGCTGTATCACCTAGCGACTAAAATAACAACAATAACACAGACGAGAATGGGCTGGTCTGAACGTGTTCCTGCCCCCGATGTGCCCCGCCACGTGGGAGAAAAGCTTCTCTCCAGTTCTCCTACCTAGTAGCTGGTAGTGTTCTTTCCCCTTTGTGAGCATTTGGCTGACAGATGCCACCAGCTTCTTGAGATGGGCGATGTCCTGACTGAGATTCACAGCTACGTTGAGATTTTTATCGGGGCCTCCCTGGAAGAAGGAAATGAAAGGGCAGTTAAATAAGAGAAGCCATGCACGCCTAGCTTCACAGCATGAACGGAACAGCGGGGAACTGGAGAGGAGAAAGAGAAAGTGCTGGGAGTTGGGAGCTGCCTTCTGGCCCATTCTGGCCCCCGGGACAGTCAACGCAGTCTAGTGGCCATGGTGCTCTCCACCGTGTAAGGCAGGATTCTTTCCAAAACCGATCTGGACTTCCTAGAGCCGAGGGCACCCACTCTCTCTCACACACACACCCCTCAGCCCGTCTCCTACACAAACCACAGCCTGGAACCAACCGGACTTCGGTCCCAAGAAAGAACCAAGACAGGAAAGGCTCTGCCTCTGACGTTTCCTCAAGGGCTCCCTGCAAGGCACCGCTGTGTTGAACTCAGCGGTAGATTCCCTGCTTTCCATGCTGAAGGTCAGCCAGCAGCACGTCCAGGCAGGGCCGGCGAAAAGAGGCCCCTGTCGCCACAGAGAGCCCCTGCACACTCAGGGTGGGTAAGAACTGGGATCAATCGGCAAAAGGCACAACGCAGTGTAAGACAGCTGCCTCTGTTTTGACCGGTGGGTCTCTCATCAACTCCTCTCTGACATGAGGAAGGTCTTTTATACAAACAAAACAAAACAAAGGAAACCAAGCTAGGTTCCCTTAGTGCTGGGAGTTATTTCAACCTCATAGGTGGCATTTAGGTCTGGCTGGGAGAAACCTTTCTGGGTTCCTGGGTAACTATTAGTCTATCCAGCACTAACCAGTTCTTCCTTCCCTGCCTCTGATTTCAAAGAGAGCCACACCTGTCTGCTTAAGAGTCTTTCCCCCCTCTCTTCTTTTAGTTTGCTGGCAAGCTGTGCCGTCAGAGATGCCATCTGCAGGGGTCTGTTGAAAGGAGGCTATGAGTCTCTTGAGGCCTGCTACTGTAAGCAGTCATTTTTATACAATATGCTGTTTTTGATCTGTTCAGAACTGTGAGTAAATGAAATATTTTTATTCTTTCTCTTACTGATGTCTCAGAGTGCGTTATGTTAGCTGATGAGACAGAAAGAGGTAGTCTATTCTGGGGAGGCTTGGAAGCTAGTTCTGCTCCGTAGATAGATAAATGGTAGATAAATGAGGAAAATCATGCATTGGTGTGATGACCCTCTGACACTACCTCCACTTGGAGAAGGTAGAGCCCAGAGCGCAAAAACAGTGTAACAACTCCTAAAGTAAAGTAAGAGGCTTCCAACGCTCTACCCGTGGCCAGGTACTGGTTTCCATCTTGCAAAGGGGAAGAAACATAGCAGGGAAACTGTGTCTTGTCCAGTTGTCTCACCACTATATTACAGCCCTGCCATCTGCTGGTAGAACAGGGCAGTGCACAGCCAGTTCTTCACCTCCAGAGGCATTTCCCCTTTATCCCTATTTCCGCCCTCCATCAAACAGAGAAAGCCAGGACTGTTGTGAAGCAGCTGCAGACCTGTGAAGAGGCTCAGCCATCAGAACATGGCCCCAAGGTCAAAAGGCTGGACATATACATTGGGGGGGGGGAGAGCACAACCAGTGCACAGAAAGAGAGAGAGAGAGAGTCAAAGCCTAAACAGCCCACTTATTAGTTCCTTGATAAGAGAGAGAGAGAGAGAGAGAGAGTCAAAGCCCAAACAGCCCACTTATTAGTTCCTTGATACACCCAGGAACTCTGCTTTACTTTCAGTAGCAGTAAAGCCTCCTGCGTAGAGATGGGCGTGAACCACTGGTTTGGTAGTTCATGCCGGTTTGTCCTTTGAATGAATGGCGATTCAACTGGCGATTCACAGTCCTTCCTCCTCCAGCAGCCGCCCACTCAAAGACAGCGCACTGGCTTCCTTGCTGCGCCTCCTTCAGGCACTGCCTCTGAGTGGATGCCCCGTTGGAGGAGGCAGGTCTGGGAAACACCAAAGACCTGTTCGTCCAAAGGATGAACCGGCACAAATCGCCAAACCTCCAGTTTGGGCTCATCCTGGTAACTCAGCTTCTGCACGTTGCATGCCACTTCACTGACATGGCCGGGAGAAGACTCACCGAGATGTCGCTGTTCTCTATCACATGCATGTCCCCTGCAGCTTTTCCTACTTCCCTTTCTAACGTCACCAGCGATTCCTGGGCCTTAAAAAGAAAAAAAAGAAAAACAATTTAAATATGAAATATTTTAAAATATGAAATTTTGAAATATGAAAGCACAGCGCATCCTGGTGGGCAACCAGGAATACACAATGGTTCCTGGGTTGTGAGGGAAGCTTTCACTAACACATTAAAATGATTTCAGGCGAACACCTTGAAAATCTGAAGGGTGAATGCAATAAAAGTTCCCGCAAACATATGAATAACACACGTTCCTTCAAACTGGGAAACTAAATTATTCTTCTGAATTGTTTTTGATTGTGTTCTGAGATACAAGAAAGTAAACCTTTGTTTGCCATCTCCTCGCACAGGAGGACAAGGAACCTCCCCATTAATCTTCTGGCACCCGGAGAGGGCAATGCCTTTTGAAGCATCGAAAAGAAAAGAAGAATCTTTGTGCAGATCAAGCCAAATACAGTGGGGTCTTGACTTAACTATCACATGCATGTCCCCTGCAGCTTTTCCTACTTCCCTTTCTAACGTCACCAGCGATTCCTGGGCCTTAAAAAGAAAAGAAAGAAACAATTTAAATATGAAATATTTTAAAATATGAAATTTTGAAATATGAAAGCACAGCGCATCCTGGTGGGCAACCAGGAATACACAATGGTTCCTGGGTTGTGAGGGAAGCTTTCACTAACACATTAAAATGATTTCAGGCGAACACCTTGAAAATCTGAAGGGTGAATGCAATAAAAGTTCCCGCAAACATATGAATAACACACGTTCCTTCAAACTGGGAAACTAAACTCCTCATTCTTCAGAATTGTTTTTGATTGTGTTCTGAGATACAAGAAAGTAAACCTTTGTTTGCCATCTCCTCGCACAGGAGGACAAGGAACCTCCCCATTAATCTTCTGGCACCCTGAGAGGGCAATGCCTTTTGAAGAATCCTCAAGAAAAGAAAAGAAGGATCTTTGTGCAGATCAAGCCAAACACTTTAAAGTATGAAGCACAGAAATATATTGGCAGTTGCTTTGTTGTGCCGACCTTTAAAAGTCAGAGGCACTGCAAGGTTTGCTTGCATCTTTTTAAACCATTGTCCTGTCATTCTGTCTCTGTGCATGCTTTTCTTCTCACAGGAAAAGTACACTGATTACAGTGGTGTCTCGCTTTACGATTGCCCTGCATTACGACGAAACCGCATTATGATGATCTTTTTGCAATTGCAATTGCGACCACAAAAGGATGGTCTGAATAGGTTTTTTTCGCTTTGTGATGATCGGTTCCCTGCTTCGGGAACTGATTCTTCGCAAAACAACGATTTTCCTCCAGCTGATCAGTGGTTTCAAAATGGCCGCCGGGTAAATGAAATGGTTCCCTGCTGTTTTCTGGGACAGATTCCTCACTGCACAGGCACCGAAAATGGCCGCCCTATGGAGGATCTTCGCTGGACGGTGAGTTTCCAGCCCATTGGAACGCATTGAACGGGTTTTAATGCGTTTCAATGGGCTTTTTCTTTCCGCATTACGATGTTTTCGTTATACAGCGATTTCGCTGGAACGAATTAACGCCGTAATGCGAGGCACCATTGTATTATTATTATTTTTTTGCTGAGACAATAGGCGCAAATGGGAGACCCTGAGAAGAAACAATAGCATTCTGTCTTTTGGCCTTGCTTGGAGGGGCAAGAGATCTTATCAGGTTTGAAAACTGCTGGGAGATCACCTAGACTGAAAAAGAATTTAGGAAGCATTCTTCATGTCAGAGCCACTGTTCCACCTACAACGAATCCGGGGCTTCGTCAGGAGGATGCAGGCTTTCCTCTGCATAATCACGTGCTGTCAGGTCAAGTCTGACTTATGGCAACCATTTCCAGCATTTTCCAGGTCAAGAATATCCAGCCCAAGTTTCTGATTCCTTACCTTCGGCAAATCGACCGCTAATTTCTGCCTCTCGTTCTGATCTAACGTGAGTTTGGATAACGTCTCGTTCAACTGGGTTTTCAACTGTGAGAGATAAGAAAAGATGAGCCAAATTCAACTTCCTCAGGTAGGAGCAGTGGTTGGGAGGGCTAAGAGACAACTAAAAGTAACATACATACACACACACACTCACACACACAAACACACACACACACCATGGAGATTAGTTGACTACAAAGAGCATCAGACGGTAAGAGGTTCCATCTGTGGAGTCGATGAAAAGGGATGAGAACTAGAGCAGCTTGAGATGGGGTTAGGATCAGTAAGAGAACTCTAAACGGAGGCATGGGCCATTCTAATGAATCGGGGGCGACCAACAGGATCCTTAAGGGAACACACAGACTGCCAGAAAAAGAAAAGGATGAACATGAAAGAGATCAGAAGTCCAGTTTTGAAAAGATCTGGGTTTTATTTATTTTCGGGGGTGGGGAGTGTTGCAAAGGCAAGGAGTCACTCCAGGCGCTTTAAAAGGCGAATGGCTGCTCCAGGAATGGCACTGTTACTAACCGTCGAGGCAGATAAAAATCAATGTTTTTTTAAAAAAATCGATTTAAAGCAGGATTTAAACTTTTTAATGATTTTTTTAAAATATTAATTGTTAAAAAAACTTTTTTGTTTGATTTAAATACTGATTTAAATTAAATCCACCCTGCAGAAGTAATTGACGTTCCCCAATTTGGGCGACAAAAAAAATTAAAATAAAGAATAAAATATCATCTTTTGGCCAGGGAAGTGTGAGGGTCCAAGAATGTAAGAAGGGCCTCAATACGGCCGCCTATTTTAAATGGATCCATTGTTACGTCAACATTACTGGTCAATCTGCACAAAGCTTTTCACAAGTTTTCCTCTGTTTCATAGATCAGTGGTGTCTGGCTTAAGGCTTACAAAACAATACAAAGGTCAAAGCAACTGATGTACAGTATAGTCTCTCCAGCATCTGTTCATGGAGTCGTGCCAACCTGATTCTCCCTTCTAATAACTCCAGTGAGCGAGACACAACCTCTAGCATCTTCATCACAGAATTACAATAGACTTATATTGATGGAAAGGGTCCTAAGAATTACCTAACTCAACCCCCTCCCAATGCAGGAATTCACAACTAAAACACCCCCATGGGATGGCCAACCAACTTCTGTCTAACATCCTCCAACAAAGCAGAGTCCAGAGCCTTCAACATTCTGCCCATTGAGGTAAAATGCTATGTATTTTCTCCAGGAAAGAAGGAAGGGAAGGGAAAGGAGGGGAGGGCGGGAGGAAGGAAGGAATTGAAGTAGCAATTCTGCACCTACAATTAAGCTTGCTTCTCCTGCATTCCATGAAAGCGGTTTTCTAAACTGACAGACTCTGAAAAGGCTCGAGGCAAAAAGGGGAAAGATGGGGTGGTGGGGGGAACAAGACACACACCAAAGAACTAGCCATGATGTTATAAAAAGGCAGACAGCAGCGATCAGAGTGGTGGCAGTAAGAAAAAGGCAGAGCTGCAGTGGTTAGCAGACAGAAAGGATCTGGAAATTCTCCACTTAGGAAGAGGATACTCAGTGCAGGGCAGGCCTCTTACCAAATTTAACTCTTCATTCTGCCTCACTGCTTCAGAATATGAGTCATCAAGCTTTTTCTGCAACTCAGTCAACAGATCTTTGAGCTGAAATGAAGTTTTTCAGAGTCTTTAGGATGCATCTTCTTATGGTCTTCGTTGGAGGTCCACCACCAAGTGAGGCCAGGGGGGGTGGGAACATGAGACAGGGACTTCTCAGGGGTAGGACCCCCTCCTTGGGACTCCCTCCCCGGGGAGGTTAGGCCAGCTATTTCACAATTCACCTACTGAAAAAATGTGCTTCTCTCTTTTTAAAACTGTTGCTGAATAGTTATTAAATTTTGGACAATATCCTCCCTTTATAGCCAGTGCTTTAAAACCTGGTGAACAATTAATGATAATAATGGTAATATTAATGGTATCAACCAAAGATGAGCACAAACCCCTGAACCGGTGGTTCGTGCTGGTTTGTCCTTCAGATGAACGGGTCTTCAGTGCTCCCCAGGCCTGCCTCCTACAGCAGAGGTGGTGCCCCAGTCTCCCCGCCCCGCCTCCTCTGGTCGCTGCCTCTGAGTGGGCGCCTGCTGGAGGAGGCGGGGCTGGGAAGTGCCAAACACCCGTTCCTCTGAAGGACAAACTGGCACCCACTGTTGGTTTGGCGATTCGTGCCCATCTCTAGTGTCAACCCTTTCTCTCTCCTTCTGCTCAGTGTTAGTGTGTATTTCCATCTACCCTGGAAAGACAAGCAGGGTAATGCTCCGGTTGTTTTAATAAGAAAGCAAGTCCTTCTTTGACAAACCAAATCCATGCCTGAGTGTGTTTCCTGTTGGTGTGGTATGGTATGTTGTGATGTGCTATGAGCAAAAACAGCTGTAGCAGCTCAGAAGGTTGTTTACCTCTCGGACTTCTGAAACATATGTGGATCGCTCTATTTCTGCCTTCTCTAGTTCCTGTTCCAGGTGCTCCCGCTCCTTTTTAAGCTACAAAACAAAAGAAAAACAGCAAATTACTGGGTGTTCACTTTGTTTTCAGACAGTTTTGCTGGTTAACTTGAAGCTGAAAACCAGCCTTCTTCTACTAAACATAAATAAAAAACCTTATCTGACAGCTTCAATAATACCCCAAATGCTAGTTTTTATTAGGTTAGATGGGATCTGGATTAGAAGGATATTCCAGTGTGATCAGAATAAATTTGTGGTTTTTAAATTACTTCCTTGGCATTTCATCAAGCACAAAACTAAAAACAGATAAATAACCCTTGTTACTTAAACATGACTGTTCACATTGCAGTGATCATATTTTAAAATGCTGAAGAAAATATTTGGCATTTACTAGATAGTTTCTGGACTGCGTCTACTTCAGACAGATCCTGCTTAGCTATCATTGCTTACTGGGAGGGTGAAATTACACATTCAAACATCAGGGGAACTGTGGTTTAAGAAACCAGGAAATCATCAAAGCCAATTGCCTAAGCAAAAGACGGAGGGGGAAGGCAGAGATGTACAGATCATAGCTGATGTGACAGCCTGTGGTTTATTGAACTCAGACCATTTTAACACCCCCCCACCCCAGTGGATTGGCAATGAAAATAACTGATGAGGTTAAATCAACAAAACATACAGAATCAACTTCTTTGATGTCTTCTCTTAGTCTTTCTACTTCCTGCTCCAAAACAGTGGCGGATGAACGCATCTGCAATTAGATAAATAGTGACATTCTTGTCATTCGGAGGTTGCATTAAGGACTCATTGAAAATATTCTCAAGGCTTCTCCAGAGACATCTCCTAGCTGCAGCTTTAACTCCCTGGCTTTCTCCATCATCTACTGATTTCTGTTGCTCCTACCATATTATGTTTTTACTGTAAATCCCTTTAGGTGGCTTCACAAAACAATAGCGTGTGATGAAGTTCTTCTGTCCGTTCTGAATTGACTACAGAGTCCTTGGGTTATGAGAGTGGAACAAACTACTCTATTCAGAGTAGTCAGTTGACTAGATGGGCGGGGTATAAATGCAATCAATCAATCGATATTCACACACTTTAAACTATGGGACATTTTACAGTTTCTCTTGTGTCCTTTTCTCTTTCAACCAGCAGCCTTTTGTCTAGATTACTAACCCAGTTCCCCCCAAACTGAAGTTTCTGGTTGAACTGGGTCATTTGGGTTCTCTCCCCCCGTATCTAGAGAAGTCCATGGTTTTCAACCTTATGGATGTCTGTGGCCTTGGAAGGTCACAAAAGGTTCAGCAAAAGAACAGAAGATGTCTCAAAGCCCTACCACTTTGCCCTGTCAAAGTAAACATATTTTATTTCTAAATAGCAAAAATGCCTCCTATCTGTGAAAGGGTTATTGCTAAGCTGAGAACATTTATCATCTTCTGTGAAGTTAATTGAGCAGCAGATGGCCTTTCCTAGTTAACCCTGAAGTGATGATGCAGCCCATCTCTTTGAGGGGTTATCCTCCCTGTTGTCAGGGAGCATTTCCTAGATGCATAATCCAAAATCATCTCACACAGATTAATTTACATCAGTGAAAGCGAGGAAAGCCATGGAAGTAAAACATGAAAAACAACATCAGCGTGATTAAACCCCTTTGAGGACATATTGCTATTTTTGTATGCAATCGCCAGCTAATGCAGAACAGGCTGCTTGCTGGTCCACGTTTTACTGTAGTACATGTTTTGCAAGAATGACCCTCGCCCACAACAGACTCAAGAGTACATGCAGAATGCACCGAGCTCCATATGTATCACAGTTGCTACGGTAAGAATGACCCTCGCCCACAACAGACTCAAAGAGTGCATGCAGAATGCACTGAGCTCCATATGTAAGGATCATAGTTGCTATAGCTGCCTCCTAGATCAGGAGCAAAATTCCAAAGGGCCATGCATGGATGCTTCCCAATCTGGCATGCTGAGATCCTTTTAAGCTAAGATGACAACATGGAATCAGGAAAGCCAGTGCTCTGCCTCTAAACCAGGCGTGGGCCAAGGGAATCGTTCCAGACGTTCTTGTACTGCAACTCCGATCAGCCGTGGCCAGCTTGGCCCAAGGCAACAAACACCTGCAGCTATAGTCCAGCAGCATCTGGAAGGCGGCATTTTCTGTATCCTCATTATGAGTAACAGCCTCACTTTTAGGTGGAGATATCAACCAGAAGAAGTTGGGTCTTTTTGGTGGTGGTATCATCTCTTTGGAAGCATCTCCTGGTGGATCTACACCTGCTCCCTCCCCTAGTTTTAAGAGGCTGCTGGAAACACATATCTTTCAAGAGGTTTTTGAAGGTAGCCTCTCTTCAATTGTTTCCCCTGTACAGCTGCTTGGAAATGCTGCAGCACCATGGGTTAATGCCTGTTTTCCAGTTATTCTTTGGGTTTTCTATTCTGCTTTATTATATTTACATCATCATTTTATATGTACACCGCCCAGAATAACGCTGTGCACTAATGAGACAGTCCGTCTGTCCAACCGATCATGTTTTTGCAAATACACAACTAAATAAGCAGAAGACAGAATTCAAGGTACTGAAAGATCTTTATAGCTGAAAATAAACATACATGTGCTGTGCACTAATGAGACAGTCCGTCTGTCCAACCGATCATGTTTTTGCAAATACACAACTAAATAAGCAGAAGACAGAATTCAAGGTACTGAAAGATCTTTATAGCTGAAAATAAAACATACATACATGTGTGTGTGTGTTTGTGTTTGTGTGTGTAACTATAAAAAGATAAAGGTTCCCCTTGACAATTTGTCCAGTCGTGTCCGACTCTAGGCGACATTTTGCATTTTGCATGTTTTCGAACTGCTAGGTTGGCAGGAGCTGGGACAAGCGACGGGGACTCACTCCAGGGCATGGATTCAATCTTACGACCGCAGGTCTTCTGACCTTGCAACACAGAGGCTTCAGCATATATTTTAATGTGAGCCTTCACTTCATCTTTGATTAAAGATCTTTGTCTGACCTAACACTAAGAAAAAGGTTGCCTCTCCCACGCCATTAACAACAAAGCCCAGAGTAACCGGGTGTGCCCATTTCTCTGGAAAGAGGAAACCTCTCTTTAGTTTTTAATTCTTGGTCTGGTGTTGTAACTTTCACTTCTGCCTGCCTCTTCCTTTTTAGGTCACTCCACTGAAGTGTTAAGCGGCATCATTTTAGTTTTGTTCTTCACCTAAGAACTGCCAGGCTGCCTAGGTCGGGTCCAGATTTTCTAAACAGAAGAACCGGCCATAGAAGCAGGAGAAATAGGATTTCTACTGCCAACTTATGTCTATCATATTCCAAGTGATTTGTACTTTGGTGCTGGAAATGTAATACCCACAAAGACCTTTTGCAGGATGGGAGGGGAGGATGGGAGGATGGGACACACCAAGCAAAAGCTCTGTCTTCCCAAATACCTCTTGGAGTTCCTTCTGTGAGTCTTGAATTTTTATCTTCCATTTGCTCTCCTCTTCTTCTACGCTCCTTTGTAGTCGCTGCAGGATTCCCTCCTAACAACACAGAATTCCAGTTACTTTGAGGCTCCTATGAAACTGAGACTGGTGACAGTTCCCCTGGACAAACCCCCAGCATTTGCAAGGTTTCCCCCCTTACCGTCTCTGCGAGAACCACTTTGTATTTCTCACACTCCTGCTGCAACATGACGTGCAACTCATCTGCCTCTTTCAACTTCTGCTCCATGGCCTGTTAGGACCAACAATAAATGAACAAATCCATTGATATATAAATAACATTCCACCCACCTTGCAGAATGCATTCCACTGAAGTTCTGCTTCAACTTTTCGGTTTGCAGTTCTCTCACATCTAAATCTCAACCCACTGCCTGCATTCCCCCCCTACCCACCCTATTAATAATCTATTTGGGAGGGGAGCAGCAGACCCTTTAGGAACTGGTTCATGCTCATAAACATCACACAGTCGTTATTTGGCTAGAGCTAGAGGTTGGGAGTTCGATTCCCCACTTGCGTCTCCTGGGAGTAAAGCCAGCCTGTGTAGCCTTGAGCAAGCTGCACAGTCTCAGGGGACAACCCCCCCCCCCACCGAAGAAAGGAACAGGAAACCACTTCTAGAAACCCCTTTAAAAAGGGTCACAGTACATCACAATTGACTTGACAACATAGGGTTCCACTTCTAGAAACCCCTTTAAAAAGTGTCATGGTACATCACCATTGACTTGACAACATAAGGTTACTGTATTTTTATTTGAAGTTTCTCCATCTCATACGATTTGTGGCATGAATCAGGGATCAAAGAACGTTGTCCTTCAGCCCCAAAACAAATTACATACACAATTTGCACTAACCTTAACTTCATCTGATTGAGACGTCTCTCTTGCATGCTTCCTTAGTACCTGTTCAAAGCCACGCATCCATTCACTGTGACTCTGTGCAAGAAACGGGGATTAAAACTTAAAGAGATCTCTGGACGTTGAGAGAGATAAAGAACCACAGTTAGCTAAGCACAACCGAGCCACAGCCTGCAGCTGCCACTTAGGGCAGGACATCGGACCTCCTGAATGGGCAGCCAGTCCACTGAGACATAAAACAAAGGGAGAGGATGCCCTTTCCAGATGATGGAATTCAAGTGGAAAAACTTGAGTCCCAGCATGTGGTTGTTTATGGCAGGAAATATTCTGAAATAACCACCTAGTTCATTGGCATGCATTGTAATACAAACACAAACATAGGCGCTTAAGATCTGCCGCTAGAGGCATTTTGCAACATGTCTTGTCCTCCGGAAGAGAGCCTGAGGTTTGGTTACAGGTAGCAGTGTCTTTCACTAGGAAATCCCAGAGTTATGGCACTGTCAGGAAACCCATCTATGCCTTTTCCTGTGGTCTTTAAGGAAGGAAGGGAAGGGCCTGTTTCATCAAATGTCAGAACCAAACGGCAAGAAGCAAAAAGGTGGATTCGGAGCCAGATGAACCCTAGAGGATTTGCCCACACTTTAAATGTTTACGTGGTTGTTAACATCTGGCCCCAGATTCAACACTCAGCATCTCTCACTTGCCAAAGTAACTTCTTGTGGGCTATGCCAGAGTTTGTCTGGTTTTATCTAAACAACTAACTTTTCTAGGCTCTGGGCTTTACGAACCAACTGTACGATGCTGGAAACAATGAGGGAAGATGTTATAACTGCCTCCAGTTTAATGTACAGAATACCAAACCATATCACGAGGTCAGAAAAGCCAACAGGACCAAACAGATCCATTCGTAGGATCCGCTCCCGAACAGCGTTCAGCCAGCAAGCCTGACGGTTTCACTCCTGCAAAGCAAACAGCCTCAGTTAAGACGGAGCCGGCCAGCACTGGAGAGCACCTTACCAAGGTGGAAGGAAGAGACACTGCAGGGAACAGCTTCTGCAAAACCCCTCTCATCTCGGCTTCAGCAGCCTCCACGTACTGCTCTTTCTCCTGGATTGAGAAAAGCAAAAGGGAAACAGGACCAAGTAAATGCAGACGCCCCATAAGAAATCCATATCAGTCTCTTTCCTCGGTCTAAACATAACACACCCTGGTTTAAATACCACTGATTCTAAGGGGCACAACCTATTCTATGGTTGCCTTGGAATAGCTTCAGGCCTTGAGCTTAATGTCATTACCTTTTTAAAGAATTTATAAAAGCAGCTTCCCTTGGGTCTGTTCCTTTCTTGCCTTCACTGGACTTTGATGGGATAGATCAGTGGTCTCCATCCTTGGATAACCCAGGTGTTCTTAGACTGCAACTCCCAGAAGCCTTCACCACTAGCTGGGCTGGTCATGGTTTCTGGGAGATGCAGTCCAAGAACACCAGAGTCATCCGAGGTTGGGAACCACTGGGAGAAATAAATATGACCTTCCCCAAGCTGGTGACCTTCACACATCCTACTCCTACCTGGAGGATACTGGGATACAGTATATGGTTTCTAAAAAGTACATGGAATCCTTCCATAAGGAAGTATAAACTGCCTTGAATCCTGCCACTGGGAGAAAGGCAGCCTATAATAGTATGAATCAATTCCATGGCAACCCAGACTTCGGACATCCCAGTTAAATACGATTACATTTCCCTTTTAAAATACTCATGTCATCTTCTGGTTGCTATCCAAGGGTGGAGGGCAGGGTTTCACTTAACTGGGGCTTATTTTTGGGGTAGGGCTTATATTACGAGCATCCTGAAAAGTCATACTAGGTCTTATTTTCAGGTTAGGGCTTATTTTCAGGGAAACAGGGTAGCACTAACTGGAAATCACCCCCTTCTATTTGCTACTGCTGGGTTTTTTTTAAAGACTTTGATTTTTAAGTGCAATTTGACTTTCCTTTAGTGAGTCTACCCTGAAAATAATATTTCTCATAGTTCTAGCTTGGCTATACAACACATTTGCAATGGATCAGAAAAGCTGTAGCTCCTGAAGGACTCTAGCAACTTTGGAACAAAATGCAAAATACCATATTTAAATAGTTATTAAGCCTTTGCAAGAAAACATCCTTTGCTTTTGAAACCGAGGAGACCTCAAATCAAAGCCACAATCCCATTTTATCCCCCGCTCCCTTTCTCCACAAACAGGGGAGGGAAATTCCATACAAGATGAATGGCAAAGACCCACCCAAGTATCCCTTTCAAAGTGGCTGGAGAATTTAAAACTTATTTGCTTGCAAAGGGTATGGGGCCATGCCCAGAACTTAAGAAAAACACTCCTTGGACAAGAACTCCCAGAATCCACTCACAAGTATGGCAGCCTAAACGTCCTTTACCCTTTCAAAGTGGCTGGAGAATTTAAAACGTATTTGCTTGCAAAGGATATGGGGCCATGCCCAGAACTTAGGAAAAACACTCTTTGGACAAGAACTCCCAGAATCCACTTACAAGTATGGCAGCCTAAACGCCAGCTCTGAAATTCTGGTGCGGTGGTTCAAAACCCCAAATATTTCCCATTTTCAGTCTCTTAGCCCCATCCAAGGTTGGGGACCACTGCTTTACAACCCCGGCCGTGCACTCTGTGAGTTCTAAGTGCTTGACCATTCTGGTCTTATTAAAAAGGACTGCTCTGCGGTGACAGGAGAGGCAATAGGCTCCTTCCTCCAACATGGTCACCAAACACGGCGGATGCAGGTTTGAAGCAGACATTCCTGCTTCTCGTGTCTTAGCTGTCTCCCGAGTCTGGGTGCGAGGAAGCCTTTTCAAACCACTACCACTCAACATTGCCATACGCCGTTGCCCAAAGCGCAGCGCCTGGGGGGGCCCTTCGGGCAAAGCAGCTTAGCAAACCATTCCTAGGCTCTCTCTCAAGGCCATCAAAGTTTGGAGCTGATCCTGGGACACCCACCCAGCTGAGAAGCCCCACCACGGAGGTCCTCCCATAGCTTTCCCGGGATGCGTGCTTTGTCTGCCTCATTGTGAAGCAGAGCTGCCAGCAGCCCAGATGTGCTTGTCGTCCTCTTTGGTGGCTCTCACAATCTTTCTTTCCCAAGACGTGTAGAGCAGGATTCCTGACCAACTAGGGGGTACCCTTCATGCAGAGCAAACCTTGGGAGGCACAGCTTTGCCAAAGTACTTTACAGACGGTTGCTCATTCATGAAGGGTGAACCGAAATGCAAGAAAAGGGCCTGAATCGCCAGCTCACGCCCGTCTCTAATTGTGGCACCTTAAAGACCTAATGGCTATATTTTTAATGTGAGCTTTCGTGAGCGCAGTCTACTTCCTCACTTGCCCACAAAACGCTCACATTGAAATACAGCTGTTAAGTCTTCACAGTGCCACAATGTTTTTTTTCCTACTTTTTAAATTTTTTCTCTTGTTTTGGCCTGATATGCAGGCACAGACTAACGTGGCGGCTACCTCTTCTAGAACAAGAAAGGGATGTTTCTAATCTCTTGTTCTGTTTATGTTTTGTTGAGAGAGGAAAACAAACTAGGGCTTCACATCTGTAATGGGAAACACTGGCTTCTTTGAGGGTTTTCTGGCTGGTGTAAGTACTTCCACTCATGGGAAGAGCCCAATGATGGGAACAGCCAAGCCACCAGACGGCTTGTTAAATGTGCTGTTCACCCACAAGGACCTACTGACGTTTGCAAGCGATTTTGGTATATTAATGCCTCCCAATGGGGCCACTGCCTTTTCTAAAATACACTACTTCAAAAACATAGTTTTTCTTAAAATATTGAGTTAAATGGAAAAACCACAAGCCTGAGACAGAGGAACACACTTACAATACTGTAGGACCACAGGCCACAACAGTGCCGTCCGCTGGCTCACACTTTTGGAAGTTGCAGTCCACCAAAACGTGGGTGGCTCCATTTCCCTGTCAGGGCCATAAACAATCCAGCAAGCAAACGAACACTCAAGCCCTTCCCCTAAGATTAAGTGTGATTGTTGTGTCCATTCCCACATGTCTTGCCCCAGGAAAACAGACTGTAACAACAGAGAAATCCTATTTTTCTTAACTAAAACTTCAGGAATCCTGGAATAGGTCTGGGAGGTGTAACCTACCCACACCCCGGAAATTTGATCCCCCCCCACTATGATTTCAAGGTTTTCACTGCCGGTGGGGGAGCAAAGCATGTACAAAATCAACACACCTCACCCTCCCTTCCCAGATTTCCTCAATGCTGAAGCTCGTTCGGGGACCCATGGTCATAGAACTTGAGTCTATTAAACCGGTCTGGGTTTGGGTCGCTAGTGATGCACCTGAAGTTCGTGATCAGGCCGTGAAGGATCTCCTAGATCAAGGCATCCGGCTTAACCTCTTGCCCTGTATGTGCTCAGGCTCCCGAGTCCCCAGAAACTGTTCCTACCATAGCTACGCCTGGCCAAACCCCTTCCTTGAAATCCGTCCGAGGGAGATTATGCAATGCCACCCCTCGAAACAGTTTAATCAGACCCTCCTGTTCAAGATAGTCTACCTTGTTTCAGGAAAACCCATCCTCAGTGTAACATGAGCAATATTCTTCGATTATTATTTGTTCAGTTAATTTTTAAAAATAGGTAAAGGCAAGCTGCAAAGGTCTGCGGGCCCTGGAGACCGACCAGGGACAACGGCCTTCCCCAAATGGGATTATTTCACATATTACCAGACCGTAGATTTACTTCCAACTCTGAAAAAGACTGGGGTGGGGGTGACTCACAGGCCACATATGGAACCCCTACCGGCATTTTGGGGACCTTGCAAACCTTTCTTGAGCAAAAAAGGGGGAGCAGGAAAGCCCCCCATCTTAGATATTCCCCCCTCCCCCTTAGAAACACAGAGGATAGAAGCCCTTGCATGCACCCAGTTCCAAAAGTAAAAAAAAAAAGGAAAATAACTGTCCCGGGTCTCTAGATTTTCATTTTTTGTTTGTTTGGGGGAGGGGGCTGTTCTGGTGTGGTAGCTGCTAGGAGAGAAAATGTGGCTGCAGGCACATGGACATTGCTACATAGGCTTAATGTGCCATTGAGTGGCATCTGGCTTATGGCAACCCTAACCGGCTTTCAAGGTAAGTGAGGAATTTAAGGTTTTACCAATTCTACCCTTGGCCCCCAAGAGTTTCGACATTATGGCAACCCTAACCGGCTTTCAAGGTACTGTAAGTGAGGGATTTTAGAAGTGGTTTTACCAATTCTACCCTCAGCCCCCAAGAGTTTCGACGACCAAGTGGGGATTCAAACCCAGGTCTCCCGACTCCCTAGTCCATCACGCTATCTGGCTCACCACCCAAAGTATGTGTCTGCTCGCATATTAGAAGTGTGATTCCGTGCCTTGCTCTAGAGGAGAATCGCCTCCCTTGGATGCCTGAAAGAGCACAGATTCTCTTTTTTTCTGGTTGAAAGGGTTTGGGTTTTTTTAGGGGGAAGAGGAGCCAGATATTCAGGAGAAGCCTCAGACCCATGAAAAGCAGGCTTGGGGGGGGGACACAGATTATGTAGGGGCTGCACGATTCCTACCCTGGTTTTCTCCAGTGATGAAGGTTGGACTTGACCACCCTTGGAAGCTCCAGCAGGTCCAGAACTTTACATAAAGTAGACCCATGGCTCTTCCCCGTACGGCAGCCTTCCCCACCTAGTTCCCGCCAGATGTTTGGATTACAACTCCCACCATCTCCGGCCAGCAAGACAGAGGGGCCAGGGTAGCTGGGGGTGGCGGTGGCAGCAAGAGTTGTAATCCAACACAGCTGGAGGGCAAGAAGCGGAAAAGGCCTCCTTGTAGCATTTAAATAGGCATCGCGCTTGCCGCCTGCGGTAACTCTTTTTCTTAAAATTCTAAGCTAAGGAAATATTATAGGCCCCTGAGATACAGTGGGACAGATCTGTGGTCAAAAAGAAATCAATGGGCTTTAAATTCAGACGGTCTGAGGTCCTCAGAGTATAAAAACTGGCATTTAGAAGTCATTCTGATTGCAGTCACCCCAAGAGCAGGGCCGGGGACTTGCTGGCAAGTCGGACTGAAGTCACATGGGTGACTCAATTCAGACTCGACTTGGGTTTTTTTTTCCTCCAAGTGACTCAGACTTGACTGGTGATTCAAAGCCCACCCCTCTTTTTTCGGGGGGGGGGAGCTTATTTTAAATAGGGGCTCAGACTTAAGGCTAGCGAATCTGGACTTGTTACCAAAGAGTCGGATTTGGGACACGGACCCAAAGACTGGCCAACATTCCAGCCAACAAGCATCATTTTTTGTCACTTTTGGTATAATTCAGCCTAAGTTAAATCCTTTGAAAGCCCACTTATTTGTGCACCTCTCGATTCAAACAATAAATGGGTATTCAGGGTGGTCAGTACATTTGGCTAATGCCTGAGTGTTTATTTTATTTACTTTATTTATTTTATTTATACCCTGCCTATCTGTTCAAAATGACCACTCTAGACGGTGTTTAATTTCAAACTTCTTTTTGATAGCGGTGTCCACCTGGAAGCCATACTTTCTTTCCTTTAAAATATTTTATGTTTATTATCTTTCTCAAGGGTCACCGGAAAACTGGGGAATCTGAGATCCAAAGGAGGTTGGAATCTTTGTCCTCTGAAGGGGGGAGGGCTTATTTTGGGCTTTTTCTTCTTTTTTTCCTTTTTCTTGTATTTTGTAGTAGTTTTGCTTTAATAAAATAAATATCTTTTAAAAAATATATGGAGAGCCACTGATGTGACTGTGTGTGTGTGTGTGTGTGTGTGTGTGCATGTGTGTGCGTGTGCGTGTCATTTTTTTTTTTTTTTAGGGGGGAAGCACAAAGCAAAGGAATGGTCAACAAGAGGTTATCCTGGCAGAGGAACCCAACCCTACAGCTCTAAACAAAACCCAAATTAATCAGCAAGCTCACAAATCAAACGAAAGGGAGAGGGGCGGATAAATAAAAGAGGATTAAGATGACAGGCACAAGCAAAGGTGAAAAGTGCAACATGAGAAAAAGAGCATTTCAGAACAGAATGTATTAAGAAAAATGGCAGTAAAAGCGAAATGCTTCCATTTGATTCTAGAAGGCGGCTGCAGAATCACGTCTAGGCTGAACGCATTCTTTTTTTCTAGCCGTTTCGAGTTACAACCTTGGCGGTCTTGTTCACTTTGTCCTGCAGCAATTTTTCAGTTGAGGCCAATGCTTCCATTGCTTTCCAGTTTTTCTCCCGAAGGTCCTAATCGTTTTTAGAAAGAATGGTTTCAGATCAGCCAATAATCAAACGGTTTCTGCTTTCACTTCAGAGAGCGAGCCTATCGCATTTTGAGTGCAGGTTTACTGCAAAATGGTTGGGTGCCCAGTTAAGATGAGGCCACACTAGCAAACGACAAGTGTGATGTTAAAAAAACCAACAGCAACAACAAAAAAACCAACAACAGAGAGGTTGTATGGAAATGTTTCAGAAGCAGAAAAATCTTGGGCGATTCCTCCCTCTCCTCCCACCAACCCCGTTTCTGGCTGTAGGGCTATCCCGTAACTAAGAACGACCTTACACTTTGACTGTATTTGTGAGGACAAAAAATAAATAAATAAAGAATCAAAAATGACCGATATACAGATGCATACACCCACGCAGATTAAAACCAAGGAAGAACCATGCATTGTAGGACTTGGATCAGCATGAGAGACAGGCATAAATCGCTTCTACAAAGCTGTCAGTGCAGTACCAGAGGGGCCATGCTTGGCCCATCTTCCATTCCCCCCCCCCCGGCTGGCCAGGCCACTTGCCAGACTTTGCATGCCACTGGGGTCCTTCTTCTCTGGCAGTGCTCCCATTGGGGCAGGAGCTCGACCGGCCCTCCCCTGCCTCCTCAGGCAGCTGGCCACTCCAATGGTAGGATGGGGATTCTCCCCACTCAGTGGTCGGCTGCTGGAGGAGACGGGGCATCACCAGAGAAGAAGGACACCCCCCCGGTGGCATGCAAAGTTCAGTAAGCGTCCCAGCCAGCTGGGAGTGGGAAGGAGATGGACCGGCGCAGTACCTATGGTTTGTACAAAGCTGTACAGAGTATTTGGGCCCTTCTCTAATCAACAGTGTAACTCAGAAGGTCACTGAAACAGGAAACCCTAAAAAGGCAACTTGGTGTCAGGGAAAATGAGAGCTGGCTGAGGTATAGCCTGACATTGTTGGATCGGAACTCGCAGCCTTGCAGTTGCCTAGGCAGACCAGGGCACATGGGAGCTTCAATCCAACATCAACTGAGGGGCGGCACTTTGTTCACCTGCACGGGGACAACCCCTTGTAACAGGTGTTTTCAAAGATGGGGCCACCAACCGGCACAGCGTCTGTCTGTGGCTCAGTGGCAAAGCAGGTGGCTTCCATACAAATGGTTCCATGCTTAGTCTTACTTCCTTGCCAAGACTCTTTCTGCAGAAGCCCGTGGTCATGGGTGGAGCTTTCTAAGCCTCATGGTAACGGCAAAGCATCCAGGGGAGTGGTAGGCTTTTGTTGTTGCTTTTTGAGAGAGAGAGAGAGACATTCTCTACCAAGTCTAACGAACAGGGAGATTCACGTCTGCCCCCTAATACTGTGCGGTTCCCATGGAGCTTGGAAAGACAGCTGCAGCAATAGAATAGAGGAGGATCCTGAAACATCTCTGAGAATATAGATTTTTTTTGGTTACAATTACTAGAATAATTGCTGGAGGAGTTCCTGTTGAATTCTGGAAGTTGAAACAAGGGGGGGGAGAGAGAACCCTTTAAAATCCCATGCATAGTGATGGGCGCCTTACTTCCCCATGTCTGTTTCCAAGGCTGAGAGTCGCTTGGGGGTGGGGACCTGATTTCTCTGAAGCACGGCTGTCCCACCAAGTCACCTTCCAGTCCTGCTCATCTTATTTTAGCCCCTGCCTGAACTCAGGACAAAAAAAATACATTTCCATTTCAAACACATCCTTTACCTCCACTATTTAAGCATGGGGGCGTATGAAGGTCCCATTGTAAGCTACCCAATAGACCGCAATTCCCTTTATGAGGCCGTCCGGGTTTTTAAATCTTCAGGGAAGGCCTTTCTCTTAATCCCACCAACCTCAAAGGTGGATTTGCTGGGGACCTGAAAGAGGGTCTCCTCTCTCCCTGCTCTCAAGCTATGAAATTTCCTCCCACAGGAGACCTGGCTGGACCCCCCCCCCTTTGCTGTCCTTGGGTTTTCTCTTTGAGCAGGGATTTTCTCAGTAACTGTTTATCTAAGAGGGGCTTGTGAAAAATGAGACTGCTGTGTTTTTATTATTTTTAATGCAGGTTTATAATGGCTTTACACTGTTTCTATTCACTAGTTTTTAATTTCATATCTATTTTTTTAAATACTGTCATAATTTATTATGTTTTGGATGGCTAGATAGCTCAGTGAGTTAGGTTTCTGGCTGTGAAGCCAGAGGTTCGGAGATCAAATCCCTACAGTGTCTCATGGGAGAAGAGCCAGTCTGGGTAGCTTTGGGCAAGCTGCACAGATGGAGAAGCACCCCCAGAAGAAGGGAAGGGTCAACCACATCTGAGTTCTCTATATTAAGACAACCCTAGAAAGGACTGCTATAAGTCAGAACTGAGTTAACAGTATATTACTACTACTGCTATTGCTATTGCTACAGGTATTGCTACTGCTGCTGCTGCTGCTGCTGCTGCTGCTGCTATTATTATTATTATTATTATTATTATTATTATTATTATTATTATTATTATTATTATTATTATTATTATTATTATTGCTTTTAATATAGTGATTTTAATATCATAAGCCGCATTGAGTTCTCTTGAGGGGACAGACCAGGCATAAATGTTTTAAATAAATATTAATCATTGGGTCCATACTACTTGCACTGAGCTAATATAATTCAGTGGGTTGGAGCATTGGGCTGCAGGCACCCAGGGCCTAGCCACTGAATCCCCACTGCTGCCTCCCTGGTCAGCCCCGGACACTCAAGAGTATCAGAGGAGGATGGGGTTAAGTGTCCTCCCACCTGTGTCGCCTTGGACCAGCTGCACTGTCCCAAAGCACTCCTAGAAGGAAGGTCTGGCAGATCGTTTCTGGAGCCTTCCTCCCTAGAAAACCCTGAAGGGTGGCCATAAGCTTGGATCAACCCTGTCCCAAAGCACTCCTAGAAGGAAGGTCGGGTAGATCGTTTCTGGAGCCTTCCTGAAGGATGGCCATAAGCTTGGATCAACTTGGCAGCATACTTTCACCTCTTGGTTGTGGTTTACTGCAGTGTTATTGCAACCGCATTGATCGACTGACTTGTTAAAACAGTCCTTCACATCTCTCATATGCTCTCTCAATGAATCTCCAAAGTCAGGGCAAGGTCATGATAGCTATATACTGCACATGGGGAGACATCCTGCAGATGAGGAAGGCAGAGGGGATGGTTTGCCTAAGGTCTCCTAGTGATATCTGGACTTGGGACACCCAGGATCACACCTCGGCCAACACCGGACCTCTCAAGAGTCCTTGATTATGTAAGAATACAGAAAGGTAAGAACAAGCTTATATGCTAAAAAGGATAAATCACAACGTACAACAAGATTTAGTTTAAAAATAATCAGAGCTCAGCAAAAGATGACATACACCTTGGGATAGAAACACAGGTGTTACTGGTATTGTAGTAGCTGTTGTTATGTGCCATCAAGTAGCTTCTGACTTATGGCAACCCTTTGAAACAGTAGCCCTGTGAATTAGTCCTGCTCAGGCCTTCCTGTATTGAGTCGATCCATCTCATAGTACAATGGTACCTCGCTAGACAATGACCCTGCTGTACGACGAATCTGCAGGATGGTGAGTTTTTTGCAATCACTATAGCGATTGCAAAACGATGTTTCCTATGGGAGATTTTCGCTTGACGTCGATTAGGTCTGTGCTTCGCGAACCATTTGTTCGCAAGACGGCGATGTTTTCCGGCTCCGCAAAATGGCTGCCCTGGGTTTTCTGAACTCATGCTTCGCAGGGCAGCCATTTTCACAGCTGATCGGTGCTCGGAAAATGGCTTCCCTATGGGCGATCTTCGTTTGACGCCTAGGTAATTTCCCCATTCGAACACATTAAATGGGTGTCAATGCATTCCAATGGGGAAACTGTTTTCGCTGGACGATGTTTTCGCTTAACAGCGATTTCAGGGGAACGAATTATCGTTGTGGTGCGGGGTACCACCGTATTTGATTGTCCTCTTTTCCTGTTGTCATTTCCTTTTCTTAGCCTTATTTGTTTTTTTCCCAGTGACCCTTATCTTGTGATATGTGCAAAATATGACAGCCCAGTTTGTTTCTGTTTCTACATAGGTTAAGGCTTGGCTTGATCTAGAAATGCATTTCTTGATCTAGAAATGCAGAGTAAGTGGCACAGATCAAAGTGACTCCAAACAGAAGCCAAGGGGGCAACAGCTGGGCAGATGTGGCCTGGATTATTCAGATTGTTGTTGTTGCTTTTAATCAAAACAGGCTGTGTCCTATTTGTTGTCTTCACACAAAGCTGACACTCACTGTAAGGCGGCCTAACAAATTCTGACTACTAACAAGCAAGCGTCTGCTTTTCACATCCAGCCCAAATTCGGGACTTTTAAAAAAAATAATAATCATGAATTCTATGGGCTTGAAAGGGCAATGCAGCTCCCTTAGATGGGGTGCCCCATGGGGAATGATCAGCTGCTAATTAGCTCAATTTTGCACGTCCATTCCACCTTCACCCAAAAGGTGTACGATGAACATATATCATTGGACATTCACAGTAATCCTTCTCCTCTGCTATGCGACGTGAAGGTGGGCCAAGACATTTCGGGGAAGAGAGAGACCACTTTGGAAGTTTCACAAGGGAAGCCAGCTGACCCAACAATATGACCGCATGGCCCTTCTAATAAAAGGACTCTTGATTGCCCTGAATGTTTTGACCTTCATTAAATGATAGTACAGGAATTTCAGAGAGAGAGAGAGAGAGAGAGAAGGCATGGGAAGCTGAAGGAACTCTGGACAGGGCGAAGAGGAACAATCACATGGCAAAAAAAGTTGCCTTCCTGATAGAGTGCAAGGATTTCCCGGGCTCCCCCAAAGCCCTTCACCTGCGTAAACACAAGAAACCAGCCTTTTCCAACCTCGCACCCTCCAATTGTGCTGAACTGTAACTCCCAATATTCCCAGAAAGCTACAGAGGATGGGAGCTGCAGTTTGACACATCTGGAGGACACTGGGGTTTGGGAAAGGCTGGGCTAGATCTTCCTTCTCAGCCGTAAGCAGAGGCTGGGCTACAAATTCTAGGCTGAAGATGCTTTCCCCAAATGTGCTTTAAAAAAAAAAACAACCACATACTTACATTGTTTTTTTGCCTCTGCTGTTCCACTGCATGTTTCAACGACTCCAACTCCTTTTGGAGACCAGCCATCTCTTGCTCTTTTCCCGCAATGCTAAGTAAGTCCCAAAGAGAGAGGAGGGGGGGAAATAAAAATAGAAAGAGTCAGACATAGGCATTCTGTTCAACTCCAACAACTTTTCCTCCAGACAGAAGAGGACATATGAGGGAGAGGCTATAACTCACAGGTTAATCACATGCTTTAGATGCAGGACGGCTCCAGAAAACTACCCATTTTTGCCCGGTCAGGGGGTGGGGGAATATGCCTGGAAAAGAATCAGCCCCAAAACCCTGGAGAGCTAACAATACTGGGCTCCATGGACCTTTTATTTCATATCATATCATTTTTTTTATTTATAGGAGTCTCGGTGCAGTGGTTAAACTGCTGTACTGCAGCCAAAACTCTGTACAAGACCAGGGTTCAATCCCAGGTAGCCGGCTCAAAGTTGACTCAGCCTTCCAAGGTTGGTAAAATGAGTACAGTGGTGCCTCGCTTAACGAGCACACCGTAGAACGAGTCCGCATAGCAATGGGGTTTCAGCAATCGCAAATGCGATTGCAAACCGATGGCCCCTATGGGCAAAAATCGCTTTGTGAAGATCGGTAAGCGTTTCGCTTACCGATCTTCGCAAAACGAAGCCCGATGATCAGCTGTTCAGCGGGTTCAAAATGGCTGCTGGAAGCCCCAAAATGGCGGCACGCAGCGTTTTCGTGCCCTGCCCTCGCTTACCGAGGGCACGAAAATGGATGCCGG